TATTTCGTCTCTTTCTCTATCACTTTCGCCACCAGATCTCCCTTCTTCGTGACACCCACACTTCCTTGTCGAGGCGGGACCCCGACATAGGACCTCGACAATATAATCAATCCAAAAGTTCTAAATTAGTTCTTCTAAATCAGATATGGGTGAGACTGGTATGGTCTATCTGTGGACCTATGAAATCTACAAGTTATCTGTTCCCAAAATACGATGGTGAGACAAGCAAAGGACAGACAGACAGTTCCATTCTAAAAGGGAGAAATTGAAAGGAAAAAAGGGTCATAAACCCCAAGCAAGTCTGAAATACTATAAAAGGTAGCACAAGGCCCTTGCAGAGATGGAACCGTTCTGTAAGTAGATTATTGTGGTGACTTTACAATTCTATTTCATTCCAAGGGCTGAAAATCATTTTCTGTGGCACAGCTATCCTTGTGCCCATAAAGGCCTCAGTGGCCATGGCTTCTAGTCTCTCATAAAATGTGTCAGCCTCTGTTCCTTAAGAGCCATGCTGGCCCTGCTCTTACCTGAAGGCAGAGACCACTCCTATCAACCTACTGCAGCAGCTTGGCCCTCAGGGTCCTCAGTGGAGGAACACCCCCTCCTATGGGCCTGAAGACATGGTGACCCCACTCAATGGATTCAGAAAGGTGGCCCTGACCTCTAGAACTGAGCAGGTGGTTAACACTGCGCCACTGGATCCACATTATCTGTCATTTTCCCCTTTTCTTGAAGGATAACACGTTCATACCTTAGTAACTCTATCAGCCTGTTTCTTGCCTATAAAATCCAGGAAGTCCAACAGCTTTTGTTCTTTTTGTTCCATTTCTGCCTCCTTCAGTCCAAACTAGCAGTGCTTCTGCTGAAATGGTTGACTGCAATTAATGCCAAATTTCTCCAGCAAAAACTTTTCATGTTTTTGCAGTTCTCACTTCTTGTTGTTAGGTGCTGTTGAGTCAGTTTCAACTCATAGCGACCCTGTATAGGGTTTTTGAGGAGTGGATGGTGGATTTGAACCACTGACCTTACAGCTCAAACTGACTTTGCAGTCCAGCACATTATCCTGCATTGCCACACCAAGACTCCTAGAGTTCTCTCCAGGGCATGGTTTTTCATTCTTTATGGTACACACAGGCTGAGAGTTTCCCACATCTTCATAATCTGGTTATTTAAATAATTTATCTTTTCCTTACATGTTACTATAAGCAGTAAAGAAAAACAATACTGAATCTTGGACACTTTCTATAGAAACCCCCCCTAACTAAATATCCAAGTTCACCACTTATAAATTCTCCTTTCCACACAAGAGTAGAATATAAGTGACCAATTTCTTTGCTACTTTATAACAAGGATCACTTTTCCTACAACCTCCCAAATACATGAGGATCTCGTTTCCTCATTTCTGTACTCACTAGAAATTCCCTTCATGTTCATTATTTCTAGAAACATTGTGTTCATGATAATATATGAATTCACTAAGATGAATGACCTAATTATCCAGTGCTGCTATAACAGAAAAACCCTAAGTGTATGGCTTTAACAAACAGAAATGTATTTTCTCATAGTTTAAGAGGTTAACAGTCCAATTCAAGATGCTAGCTCTAGAGGAAAGCTTTCTTTCTTTTGGTTCATAGTTTAGGAGAAAAGTTCTTTTATCCTTTCAACATCTGTAGGCCTCATATCCCTTAGATATCTCCATGTGTCCTGCTACCAGTCTTTCGCCAGGTCTAGGAGGTTTCCAGGGCAGAAACCCTGGGCCCAAAGGATGTGTTGCTCCTAGCTCTACTGTCTTGGTGGTAGTAGGTCCCTGTCTCTGCTACCTTCTCTCATCTTTTTAACTCTTTAGATAAACTGTTGATTAAGGCCACCCCTCAGGGAAACTCGCCTTATATCAGATCAGGGCTGTGGCCTGAGTGTAAGTGTTGCATCACACCCTAATCCTCTTAAAAATGATTGGCTGATCACATCAGGTCACATTATGAGGGATGATTACATCTGTACATAACTGCCAATGGAAATCATGGCCCAGCCAACTTGACATAATTCTGGGGCATACATTTTGATCCATGACAATGACAGACACTTCTCTACAACTCACCTCACTTTTTCCTGAGCACTCATCAAAATATGAATTCCCACAATTCTTCTAAGAGGCTCTTCAAGGCAATCTAGGCTTTTACTAGCAAGTACCTCAAAATTCTTTCAGCCTCTACCTATTACCCTAATCCAATATCACCTCCACATTTTTAGATATCTGTTACAATGTCATCTCACTACCCAGTACCTAAATTCCATATTGTTGTTTTGAAATGCCACTGAATCATTTCTGACTCATAGGCACCTTGTATAGAAATGGCCAGAGGGTTTGAACCACAGACCTAGCAGTTAGTAGTCTAGTGCTTATCCTACAGCCCACCAGGACTCCAAAATCTGTATTAGTATCCCAGAACTGTAGTAGCAAAGTACCAAGAACTGGGCGACCTAAAACAATAGATACATATTCACAGTTTCAACGGCTACATGTATAAAATTAAGGTGTTTACAGGATTGGTTCCTTCAAGGAGGGCAGGGTGTTTCTGAGAGAGAATCTGTTTGATGCCTCTTCTCCTAGCTAAGGGAGATTTCCTACAGTCCTGACATTACTTGGCTTAATAATGTATCACTCCAATTTCTGTTTTGGTTGTGTTATGTCATACTTTCTTGGATGTCTCTGTATATTGTCTCTTTTGATAAGTGACCAGGGACATTGGATTATGGCCTGTCTTACTTCAAGATGACTTCATGGTAACTTAAATAATCACATTTACACAGATCCTATTTCCAAATAAGGCCACATTCACGGGTACCAGCAATTTTTGGAGATACAATTCAACCCACAGATCTGAAAAACAATCCAGGGTTGTGGTAAGTACACCCTAACTCCAGAGTGGACATTCTACAAAGTAGACTCATCATTATCAAAAGTTAACATGATGTATCTTTTCTACTGCCAGCGTTTAAACTGGAGTCCCCAACGTTAGAGGCATGTCCTTATTTCATTAAGAATGAAAAGAATCTGTGTTCTTACTATTCATGTCACTGTATCTCAAATCTAGTATCATGTAGTTTTAGAAACAACTTCATAGTCTGAATCATTAAAAAGTAATTGATTATTTCATCATGGATTCCATTATTCCACTTTATATTTCTAACTTCCATTACTGGTTTAGTTACCTAGTGCTTATATAACAGAAATACCACAAGTGGATAGCTGTAACAAACAGAAATTTGTTTTCTCACATTTTAAGAGGCTTGTTGTTGTTGTGAAGTGCCATTGAGTCGATTCAGACCCAAAGCGACCCTGTATAGGGTTTCCAAGGAGCAGCTGGTAAGCTTGAAGTACTGAACTTGTTTGTACTTCAGCAGACGACTTTACAGTCTGACGCATTAGCCCACAGCGATGCCACACCAGGACTCCTTTCAAAGGCCAGAAATCCAAATTCAGGGCAATGACTCTAAGAAAAGGTCCTTGTCTCCTTTCAACATCTAGAGGCCTGATGTTCCCTGGAGGTCCCCATGTATTTTGGAATGAACCTTCCCCTGGGTCTAGGAGATTCTCAGTGTGTGACGCTAGGACTTAAGAATGAAGTCTCTGGTCCTATTTTTCGGTAGTAGCAAGGTCCCTCCTTTTGTCTAATATGAAGCTGTGACTCAAACAAGGGTGTGAGGTAAGTAAGGATGTGACTGAAGAGTGGGACTTGAGTCACACCTACTTGTAAGGCTAGGTCCTAAGAGAAAGCCTACCCTGATCCCACCTCAAGAACATAAAGAGGGTAGGATTTTCAACACACCACAAAATAGAGGGGAACCACACAACACTAGGAATCATGGCCTGGCCAAGATGAGACATACTTTGGGAAGTAAACAATTCAATCCTTGATAATCCTGAAACTGGAATTTTGAGCTTTTTTTTTTTTTTTTTTTCCTATCATGAAGAACTTGGAGTTTCTAATAGTTCTAATGTTTACTTGGATCCATACTTGAAAAGGGAGAGTGAACTTTAGTACAAGTGCCATATTCTAACATCCTTAATTTTCATGTTTTAATCACATACATAAAATTCCTAAAGCTAATCATTTGAAATGTTTGATCAAAAGAGTACCGTAAACATACAGTTAACTGCATTTTGTTAAGAGATGATGAGACCTTATAATTGACTCCCAGACCCAGAAGTCTGTATTTCATTTCATTTTGCTTAAATCTAAGAGAGCTGGCACAGCTGCCATTCTTCCTATCCATCTTCCTATCATTCCCCTGCACCCTTTCCTGTACACTTCCTCTCACAGGTGCTATGCTATGGCTAGGGAAAAATGTGTTGTGCCACAAGAAGGTAGAAAACAAAGTAATAATACTCAAAGAATGGAAACCACCCACATGTCCTTCAACAGGACAATGGTTAAATAAACTATGTTACATCCATACCAAGGACTATTACTCAGCCATAAAAAGGAACATGGAACAACTTGGAAGACCCTCCTGCTGTGGCTCTGTAGGATAATTACTGTACTGCTAACTGCAAGGCTGGCAGTTCAAACCCACCAGGCGTTTCCCTGGAAACTCTATAAAGGGTCACTATGAGTCCGAATTGACTCAGTAGCACTTAACAACAACAAAGGAATTATGCTGAGTGGAAAAAAAGACAATGTCAGAAGGATATATACTGTATCATCCCATTTATATGATATTTGTAAAATAACATAAAAAAGAAGAGAGAGTGATTGCTAGGAGTTGGGTGTAGAGGCAGGAGGTAGGTGTGACTACAAAAGGGTAGCACAAGGCTCTTGTAGAGGTGAAACTTTCCTATAATTGTTGGGATAGTTACATGACTCTATGATGTCATAAAATTACACATATTAACACACAAAAATAATCTTCACAAACAGGTTTACTATATCCTGCATTATTACCCTTCTTTCTCTCAAAAACAAACAAAAAAAACCCCCAGAAAAATACTATTTTACCTGTTTTGCAGATGGATAGGCCTGCTTTTGTCAAATCAATCACAGAATCAAGTTTTTGCTTCTTGGTAGCCTGAAAAATTATTGTAAAAAAAAAAGTTTGTTTCAAAAGTGGGAAAACTTAAAACAAAAACAAAAAACCGTACATAATCTGTTATTACCATTTAGAAGCTCAAAACAGAACAATGCACACATGCTCAATCATCTAGCACACAGCAACACTGAAGGTTTTAAAACTAACACATTCAAACAAACGAGACTCAGAGATAATACTTATTACCCACCATAACATCTGTTTCAACATCAGGTGAACTGTTGGAATTTCTTGATGTAATTTCCCTCATATCTGAAAGAAAATTATTATACCATGAACACATTTACCAAGCTTGTTAAATGGTTAAATATTTATGGACTTTCTAATACATGAGTGCTGAAATACACCAAGAATTAAGATGTTAATTAGTTATTAATTACATAATCATAAAAAAAAAACTTAATTGACTTTATTGTACTCCAAGGATTGATGATACAGTTAAGAAATGAAAATTCAATTTTGGCTCATAGGATTAAAAAAATATATTTCTCTTTATATAACTTTACAACTATATTAACTTGAAAGAATCTATCTGGAAATTAATGTAACATTTAAGAAGATTGGAAATGTATACATTTTAAATTTAAACATCTTTAGATTAGACTGCCTGAATTGACTGATGAGTACTCTTCACAGAATCAACAGAAAACTCATTTCTAAGCCTAGTAACACTCTGATTTGCAATTTGAAATCTAAACCTAAGGGGAAATTAAGTAGATACATAAATGGAAGCAATAATTTCTGAAATTAAGATGCAAATACCCTAGTATACTGAAAAATGAAATGGAAATTGGAAATTTTCGCTGAGAAATTAGGAGCCAACAGGATGGCTAAAACACCAATATTAACAAAACAGAATTTTTAAAAAGCAACTAAAGTATTATAAAAGAACAAAAGTTAAAAGTTATCAAAGATTATAAAGAACAACCCAAACTCTAAATCTAAGTAGACCATAAGACAGTACCTACATCAAAAAGACAAACTAAAAACTAACCACAACTGCCATTAACAGAAGGCCTGGAAAGACAATTTAAAATAATATGTATGAGAAGTCACTAATTTTGTCACTTATAATACCATTAAACAGAGTTAGAAAAAGGCCATAAACAAAAGGATAAAAATAAACTTCAATTAAAGAACTGTTTATTAACACAATATTAATCACAGATATAAATTAGAATATTCTCAAAAGTACAATTAAATTACTTATTTTATTCAAAGATTCAAAATTTTACTTTAAACAGTGATTTGAGGTTTCTGACTTAATAGAACTTATTATAATCAACTTAAGATACCTGTTTGATTTGATGTAATTGAAGTTGTCAAATTAGGACTTCCCACAGAAATCAACATAACATCATCATTGTGACTAAAATGATAAAAATAAAAATAATAAACTAAAGCATGCAGTAACAAGCCTCAACATGCACTGAATGGTTAGAATTCTAACATTTTACAACTGACATATATTAATAGAACACTGAGGGAAGAAATGAAATACTAAAATTAAATGCTCAAGAAACATCATGTATTATCACTCCTCACTGATGGACTTTCTCATCCGGCCCATTAGCATTTAAGATAGTAGTAAATAATCTACTGTAATCAGCTTTAAAGCAGTAAGGACCCAGGAGTTTGGAATGAGAGTAGCTCCCTCCTTAGTCCCAATTCTTGCTGCCTCCCATCCTAGCACTCTCCCCAGTCTTGGATTGGAATAAAGTTAAAAGAGAAAAACAAAGGCCAGCAGCTATTATCAGCATACCTACTCCTCCACCTCACCAAATCACAGCCAGGCCAATAGGCCATCTGAGCAGAGTTGAGACTTTGGCTTTTAGTCTGTGGTATCAGAGGGGTTTACACAAGAAACCCAACAGTCACTTCACCAGAGATTCCTAAGATCTGCCCTTTACACTTGGCACTAGGGCCAGTGGGCCATAGTCCCGAGTGGGCATTTCCTATGGTTCATGATAGGGCGAGCCCGCTCCTGGCTGCAAATCTTGTTCCAATCTGCTCTACCTATGGTTTGCACTAGCACAAGTCAATGGCCTGCCCTGAGACCACAGTGTTACAGACAGCAGCAGCTGCTGAAGCAGGGTAGGCCCACAGGACGGCCTCTGGGATGACCCCAAGAGCCTGAGAAGCATTGGGCCGCTGCAGTTTTGAATAGGCAAATTTTTGTATGATAGCATGGTCTTTGGAATCTATGTCATCCATGATGATAAGTGAAGAGCAAGTATAATTATATTTATTAAAAAGTTGTTTGGAATCCAGCAACAGACCACTAAAATTCAATAGGGATTCATTCACAATAAATCCAAATAAATAATATATACATTAATAAATCCAAGAAAACGATATAAAAAATGTATACAATAGGGTCCTAGTGTGGAGCTATAGGGTAAGCACTGGACTGCTAACCAAAAGGTCAGCAGTTCAAACCCACCAGCTGCTTTTTGGAACCCCAAAACAGGATAGCTATGGTGCTGCAGGTTAATGAGCTGGACTGCAAGGTCAGTCTGAGCTGCAAGGTTGGCAGTTCAAGTGCACTAGCCATTCCTAGATAACCCTAAATACACGGTTGCTATGAATTGGTACTGACTTGAGGGCAATAACAACAACATACACAAATATGTAAAATATACAAAGCACCACCCTAGCACATCATAACAATAAAACATGTTGTTGTTAAGTGCGGTTGAGTTGGTTCTGACTCATAACAACTATGGATAGGGTTTCCTAGGAGCAGCTGGTAGGTTTGAACAGCTGACCTTACGGTTCACAGTCCAGTGCTTATCCTATAGTGCCACACCAGGAATCAAAAACAATATAAAATTGAATTAAAAAACAAAACAAAACATTAAAATACATAAAGGCACTGAAGGAGCCCTGGTGGCAGAGTGGTTAAGAGCTCAGCTGCTAACCAAAACGTTGGCTGTTTGAACCCACTAGTTGTTCTGCAGGAAACAGATGTAGCAATCTGCTTCCATAAAACCACAGCCTTGGAAACTGGGACAGTTTCTACTTCGTCCTGTGGGGTCCCTATGAGTCAAAATAAACCTGACCTCAAAGGGGTTACTTTTTAAAGGGCACTTTGATTCTTATATGTACAGGGCTAGTTTTATAAATAAAGCTATTAAAACAACGACTTCTACCACTACTCTACATCTATCACTAGAGTAATGAGTGGTACCATAAGTTTGCAAAACTTGAGGTCATGATGATTATAGATGATGCTGAATATGGTCATGGAGTATCCTGAACCAGAAAATGTCTTCTGCAGTTGACTCCACCTTTATTAATTTTGCAAGCATTTTAATCAGGAAGTTAGTAAAGAAAACCTTGAGATAAATTTTATTAAGCCCACTAAAATTACTAAATGATTTTTTAATACAGGTTAGTTATACAGTTTCTTGGTAGATATAGTTTTATCTTTTATATTTGGGCCTATGGTCCATTTTTAGTTAAAACAGTCAAGCTATCTAACCACATACTGTACTGGGCAAATCTGCTGCAAAATACTTCTTTATAAAATATTTAAAAAAAGAGATAACTTTGAGAACTAAAGTGGGCCTGCCCCAACCTATGGTGTTTTTAGTCAACTGCTACGCATTGCAAAAGCTGAACAGTTGCTGAATAAGAAGACGGAAAAATGGCTGTCTTTGAATTGTGATGTTGATGAAGAACACTGAATGTATCTTGATGACTGTCTGAAGAACAAACAAATTTGTCTTGGAGAAGTGCAACCTAAATTCTCCTTAGTAGTGAGGGTGGCCAGACTGCATCTCATGTCCTTTAGGCATGTTATCATGCTTGTTAACTAGAAGATCAGGAAGAGCTTCAAGGAGGTGGACTGCCATACTCTGCAACAATGGGCTCAAGCAAAGCAGTAACTGTGAGGATGGGACAGGACAGTTTATCTTCCAATACTTTTCTGTCCTGCTCACCTTGAGACTCCACTCATATGGATACTAGACTGCTTGGTATTTTCCACAGTTATCGAAATGCTCGCTTCATTCTTTATTCTTTTCTTGTTTTTATACTTGTATCTTTCTGTGTCTCGTTTTGAGCCATTTTTTCCATTGTTAGTTCACAAATTTTTGTTTAATGAGTAATTATTCACTGCACTTTTCACTTTAGTTACACTTTTCATCACCTTAACAACAACAATTCCATGTACTGGAGACCTAGTGTGGCACTATAGGATAATCACTGGACTGTTAATTACCAGTCAATAGTTCAAACACGTCAATAACTTCTCAGAAGCCCTATACAGGTTTGCTATGAGTCAGAACTGGCTGGATAGCACTTAATAACTTTCCTTGCATGGATCTACCACAATTTGTTTTTCTTTTCAACTGTAGATGGACATTTTTTTTTCCTTAGAGTTTTTGGCTATTATGCACAATGCTGCTAAAAAGCACTTCAATACATTTGTCTTACTGCACATATATGCATAGTGTGCTGCTGTAGGGTAAGCACTGCATTGCTAAACACAAGGTCAGCAGTTCGAAACCACCAGTGGAAACCCTTGTAATTAAGGTCACTAAGAGTCAGAATAGACTCAAGTACACTTAACAATAATAAAACACCTCTAGCTATGGAGTCCTGGTGTGGTGCTGTAGGATAACCACAGGACCGCAAGGTTGGTTTGAAACACAAGGTCGGTGGTTCAAACTGACCAGCTACTCCTCAGAAACCCTATACTGAGACTCTGTGAGTTGGAATTGACCATATGACACTTAACAATAACAGCTAGGGTATCCATCAAAGACTAAGACTGCTTGAACAAAAGATACCCAGGTCTTTACCATTTCTGACTAATGTCCAATTGTTTTCTAGCATACAGTACCAATTCACTCACCCAATAGAAAAATATTAAATAAAAACAATTCCTGTTATTTTAAAACCTTATGAATATCTGGCATTTTCACTTCTACTAATGTTTTCTTTAGCTAATAGGTAATAGTATCTCATGTAGCTTTTAAGTTGCATTTCTGGATTAACAAGGGAGAGCAACTTTTCATATTCATATGGTTATTGGCCATTTGGAATTACTTTTAGTTAATTGGATGTGAAGGTCTTTTGCCTATTTTCCTTTTATATTATCAGGCTTTTCCTCATTGATCTGTTCTTTACATAAATTCTGGCTACTAGAAGATAAGCACTGGGCTTCTAGGCCAGTGTGAACCTTAAGGTTGGCTGTTCAAGCCCATCTATCACTCCTTGAAAACCCTATACAGGGTCCACATGGGTCGGAACCAACTCGACAGCACTTAACAATACTCTAGAAGTTTTAAGTATTGTATCTTCTCCCAATTGAGGGGCTGTCTTCTCACTATTTTTACAGTGCATTTGAGAAAAGGAGTTTCTAATTTTAATGTGGTAAAAATTATCTATTTGTCTTATACAGTAAGGCATTTTGTCCTACGAAATCTTTCCCTACCCATGTGCACAAAGAAATTCTCTTATACTACCTTCTAAAAACCTTTATAATATTTCTTTAGACAACTGGTTCCTTAATCCACACGAGATTGATTTTTGTGTATAGTCTGATGCTGTTGTTAAATGTTGTAAAACTGGTTCCAAGTCATAGCGATCCTGTACAGGGTTCTTGAGAAGCAGCTGGTAAGTCTGAACTGCCAACCCTGTGGTTAGGAGTCCAGAGCTTATACTACAACACTACACTTGCTGTTGTTAAGTGCCATCAAGTTGATTCCGACCCATAATGACCCTGGATAGGGTTTCTGAAGAGCGACTGGTCAGCTTGAATAACTGACCTTGCGGTTCACACTGATTTTACAGTGCAGAGTATTAACCTGCAGCACCACAGAAGGACTCGGTTTAGTCTGATAGAGGGTCTAATTTCTTTCTTCTTTCCCCCAATATGAATAGTGATTTAAGAGAGCATTATTTATTAAAAGCCCATCACTTCCCAGGTGATCTGCCACATAATCTCTCTCATAAGTACATAAGTACTTATGTACCTGGATTTGTTTTCGGAATTTCTGTCACAGTGATCTATTTGACAAGCACTTGCTAATATCACATTATCCTAAACACTGTAGCTTTGTTATGTCTTGATAGCTGACAGTATCCTCCCATTTTGTTTCTCTACAGAAGGGTATTTTGCCTTCTTATCCTGTTGCATTTATGCATAAATTTAAAAATCAAATTAGCTTGTCAAATTCCATAAAATTACACACTGGGATAGTGACTGAAATTGTACTCAATATATAAATTTGTAGAGAATGGAGAAGATGTAATAATACTTTGTTGTACAAACAAATCATAAAAAGTGTATCTCTTTAGTAAATAACTTCTTTTATGTCTCTTGTAAACGTTTAATTTCATTCAGTTGTTGTTGTTAAC